GCCGATGCATCGATGGAAACGTTTGACTCCATTGCACTAACATGGATGCAGTTTCATTGTTTAGTTGAGCTTCTTTGTAATGGTTTCTGAGATTCCGCATTGCTTGCTTGATACTGGAGACCTTAGCTGTGATCAGTCACATATTTAATCAGCCAATATACGCAAGTTTGCAATATGAGATCTCTGTTGGACTCGACTGCATGATTGGGACTCATGAGGAATCAGTGGTGCATGGGTCAAAGCACGGAAGACGCGCATCCAAGGAACACTACCTGCGACATCATCAACAGCGGACAGCACGAAGGAGGACAGCTCACGGTTGCGATCGCGGTCATAGGGGCCTGCACAGATACGACGTGCAAATTCTAGATCATGTTTTATCAAAGGTCGACCGACCACACACATGCGTGAGCATTTGGTGCACATAGATTCGGTTCCAGAAATTCATCGATGCGTTAACTGTTTTTTGAAGCCGCCCCAATCAGCTTCAGATTGATCCTAATGATCAACACTTGTGATCTCATCTCGAGCAAATAGATGTGTGTGTGTGTGCATTCACACACTTTGGTAACAAAATTACCACATAGCAGGCTCAGAATCGAGCAGCCACGGTCTGACGTGACCACTTTGGAATTTGCTATCCCGCTATTGGCATGTGTACTGTGTGCACCAACCCTATATCGAATATCGATGTTGTTCATGTTGTTTTTTGTAACAACATATTTCATGAGACTTCTAGTACGGTGCCAAAAGAGCCGGTCTTCAGCTACAGCAATTACAACATTGCTTTGCAATTCTTCCATTCTTTCAGAACTCTGTTGGCTTCAGCAGTTGCTGATGACATTTTCTCCACCTGACACTCGATGCACAGATCCGGGACAGGTAGACGGAGTAACATAAATGGAATATTAACAACTCACGACAGAGATTGTGATGTCGATGTATATAACATCAAATGCACATGTTTTTTTATAAAATAGATGACCTCATCGCCCTCAATCAACTCAGAGATGCCGGTCTTCGAAGTCGCCAGAGCCGTCCGATTCACCTTCAAGGATTCCCTGACCGCGTCTCGCAAGCTGGCCGACCTCAAGCAGAGGTGGCTTTGCATTTGGGCTGCAATATTACGATGATATCACATCATATATAACATCCTGAGTCGCTTGAGCTGCGAACCCTACGTATGATTTGTAAAATGTCGAAGTCAATTGGCATTATCGAGTGATTTCCCAACAAATGTGTCCAAGTTACAGTTCACCGGCTTTCTTTTCCCGACGGGAGATGTCCGCAAGCGATGCCACCAATTCATTCAAAGCCTGACGGTTTGAACTTGTCCCATAACTTGCTACGTTGAGATGTCCGAACACTCGAAACAAAAGTCATATTTGAAGAAGAAGCACATGCATGCATGCGTGCACAGGCTGGCTCGTTTTAATTTATATATGCATATGAACAACAGCGTGAAAGAGGTGCATGGCTTGCCCAGGCCCAAGCCTTCTTTCCTTTTGATCGAATCTCTTGCTTCTTCTTCTCCTCCTGCTTGGCCTTTTCTTTCTCAGCCTTCCTTCTTTCTTCATCTTTCCTCTTCTCATCCTTCTCCTTTTCTTTCTGCAATTCCTCTGCAGTCTTCTCCTTCTCCTTCTCAGGCTTCTTCTCAGGCTTCTTCGACTTCGCTTTTGTCTTTTTCTTGCCCTTCTTGTCCTTGGAGCTCTTCTTCTTATCCTTCTTGCCATTCTTGGCATTCTTTTTTCTTCTTATCCTTCTTCTTCTTTTTCTTGGCATCCGAAGTCGAAGAACTATCAGACACCTCGCTGCTCTCCTCATCATCCTCTGACTCCTCACTCGAGCTAGCAGAGCTTGATGAAGACTTCTTGCGACGCTTCTTGTCCTTTTTTCTTTTCTTTCCTGGCCTTGCTCTTCTCACGCCGCTTCACATCATCATCATACCCTTCGTACATCATCTCCACCAGGTCGTCTGTGGTCTCTTCTTCTGTCGACTCATCCCAGCATAGGTATAACCTCATGTCCTCCCGCCCTGGTAGGTCTGGGTGAGGCTTCCAAAGAATTCCCTCCATCTCAGGCTTTGATTTGGCTTCGATAATTTCAGCAGCCACTTCTGCATCATATCGAGCTTCGATGTCCTTCTTGGTCATCCAGCGGCGGGCGCCGCGAGTCTTGCTATTGACCGCCTTCTTCATGCGCAAGACCAAAGACGATTGCTTCCACAATTCATTTGCTGAGCACCATTGCTCGTATAGCAAATGAAGCTTACAAGTCTTTTCATTTCCTGGACACAGGTGCACAATCAGTTTGATTGGGCGACATGGGGCTAGAATATTCTTTGATAGAACATTATGCACTTCCGGTGGTGTGATGTGAAACATGGCTCCAGGGCTCGATCGATCTATACTGCGTGCAAGTCTCGGTCTCCGCTTCTGGCTTTCTCCGCAAGGTATCGAACTTCATCCGGTGAATTGGGGCCTGAGCAAGAAATCATGCACGAAGGAGAATTGATCAGTATTGGACAGGGTAATCGATCCAACTATACTACACACCATGCACGCATGGGTCGAACAAACCTTCAAATTTAGCTAAAGGACTCTTCAGGCTTCTGTAAAACCTCATCCTCCGATTGTGCTTCTCTTTGTCCCTCGTGGCCTTGCTCTCAGACTTTTCCTCAACACCAGCTTCACCAGCTCCATGCGAAGCAACATCTGCCTTGAGAGCACACTCGAACCCTTCCGGATCCAGCCCATCAGCTTCAAAGGTGGCAGCTCTGTTGAGCAGGGCACTCAATGATGTGTGTGTGCACGCACGCTGCAAACCAGACCCTCCTCCGCTTTCAGAACTTGGTGCACTTGGAGGGCTCGGGCTTGGCGCACTACTGGTAGGCGACACCAGGGAGCTCTGGGTTGCAGGCGAAGGATGCTGCTTCGATTTCTTCGCTGCTGAAGCGTCGGCTGACGTGAGATCAGCTGGCCTCTTCGCAGGCTCCTTAACCTGTCCATTGTTGGCTGCAGGCTGTTTGTTCTCCTTATCATCAGCCTTAGTCTTCCCAGCTGCTTTGGGGGCCGCTGCAACAGCCTTGCCTGCAGGCTCTGATGCCTTTGCTGCAGCCGGTGTCACCTTCAAGGAATCACGGTATTGTATCACAGCTGCTTCCCGCTCCATTTGGATCCTGGTCGCATGCTCCTGCCCAAAGCGCTTGACCAAGATCGGGAACTCATTGAGGTAGTGGTCCAAAGCTGCCTCCTGGTCAACCATCTGCTGAGTCGGCTGGGCTACCTTTGCAGGCGCCGATTTTGCACGAGATGGCGGGGCAACCCTCGCAGGCGCCGATTTTGCTCTGGATCGGCTCGCAGCTTTTGATGCAGCAGTTTTTTGCCAAAGGTATCGTTTTGGGTGCTGGTGCAACAGCTGCACTTGCCTTTGCACGGCTCGGTGCAACAGCTGGAGCTGCCTTTGGCTCACACGGTGCCTTTGGCTCACTTGGTGCAACAGCTGGAGTTGCATTTTGCCGACTCGATGCCTTTGGCTCACTCGGTGCAACAGCTGATGCCTTTGGGTGAGCCTTTGGCTCTACAACCTGTGTTGGGCTCACCTCATCCCCTTGACTTTCATCCCCCAGGACTATAGTCTTTGCAGTCAACAGCTGGCGCCGCCGTTCCAACTCCGCATTCTTGGCAGCTTCGGCCTCCAGGCGCTCCATCTCCCGAAGCTCTTTCAGGCCACGCAACGCATTGGCCTTTGCCTCTTCGTCAGTTCCAGGCACTGTTGTAGCCTGTGAGCATTCATCCACCAGTGTTGGTGGAGCCGGATCTTCATTATGCTTGTCTTTTCCTTTCACTGCTTTCTTTTCCTTTTCTTTCTTTTCATCTTCTCCATCACCTGCCCAGTGCTCAATCCCCTTAGGCTACTGGATTGGAGTAAAGGAGATACGAGTTTAGGACACAACAATTTTGTGATAAAAAAATGGTTAGTATCTTTCACCAGTGAATGCACGCACACACATGAACAGCACACGTGATGGCCTGGTTTGCTGTAGCACTGATGACGTCTTATGGCCGCTTGCTGTAACAACGCATGTAGGTGTTCCACATGAACCGCGCTCTTCTTAAGCTTACTTGCAGGCATCGCGAGCGGCTCAGGTGATAAAAAACAAATGCGGTCGGTGCAGTCTTGATCTGAGATAATAAAGGGTCAGGGAACAACAAATTTGCAAAGTGTACAAAACTACTATACTGCAGTTACGAAAGTGTCGGAAGTCGCGAAAGTGTCGAAAGTCACGACTTCCGAAAAGTCACGAGTCACGAGAAGTCACGAATCTCACGGGTGTCACGAAACGGAAGCAAATGAAGCTTTGCAGTGCCTGTTTAACGTAAAAGATGATTTTTGAACGTTTTTCAACGGTTCTCCGACCACGCAAAAGCATAGTCTTTCCACTCGAAAGCATGGTCTTTCCACGCTATATCATAGTCTTTCCACTCTCTGACCACGCCGCGACCACGCTCTCGGGTGTGCGAAGTCTGTGTGGAAGTTCCAATTAGTATGCTAAGTTTAATTTGCATGTGATCTCACTACCACACCACTCACTTGAGAATTGATAAGTGTTACAAAGATAAAATAGACATGATGTTTCGTGACACATCACGGTGTGGTTCGTTCAGGAGATCACCTTGATCCAAATTAGTGAAAATGGCCACACCACCAATCAGCTTACGCAACTACGAAACTAATCGCAGTGCTGTTTGAAACCAAGCTCTTCCTCTGCAGTATATTAATTATAATACAACAGCATCACATAACTACGCGATATCGATATTATCGATGTTTAAGTGAATTTGAATATGTGTGCATGTATGATACACGATCAACAGTTGCCATTGGCAGAGTTATTATGGACCCAAGCCAATTGTAGACTTTGGTTTAAAGCGTCCCTCACGCATCTCCTCGAAGAGAAACTCTTTCAAGGGTGCCATGTCGGCCAGCATGTACAGCGCGTTCTCCATGTTTGAGTCCACCTGCGCGACAACAGTCAGTTTAGGAACCAGGAAAAGGTTTGCATGCATTGTTTCGATCAACATGAGTGCCAAATCCTTTCCGATGTAACGATTGTTTCCGGTTTCTAATATTGCGCAATATCGTAATGGACGGATGCACACGTGTATTAGGCCTTGATGAGCCGCAACTGACCAAACTCACGGATCTGGTTCTGCAGAGTCTCCCCACATGTGGCCTCAAAGCGTGAGCAGAAGCCGACCCCCCAATCGAAACGGAATAGATATTTTGTAAATATCGGATCTCAGTATCGAACCATGTGCTTTGTGTGGAGAGAATTGACCTTCTGGCCATATCCCATTGGGTACTCTGCGGACTTGGTCATGTCACGTCCACCTTGCCTCAATTCCGTGTATATAAGTGATTGATCCACGCACGAACACCTGCAAGTGAAACTAACGATAATGATGCATGCATGGATTGCGCTAGCTTTGCACTTAGCCCTACACACTTTCCAATGACCTGAAGAATCGCGATAGTGTCGCACCATTTGGAAACGTTGATATTTCTTGGACTTCTTCAATTTGCGAAGCTTCTTGGCGGTCATCTTCCGGTAGAGTTGTGGGATCCAAGGCCTGAGCTCAACCAACACAAGATGATCGTGACCACTGGCTGCATGCACATTGAGATGATTGAGATGAGGACGCGGTGCCGAATGCAACCGTTGGCTTGCAGGTTGGACTCCCATAAGATCCCATCCAACTTAGTACAAAACAAAAATTGTTTGATGATGTTTGATGGCTCTCAACATATCCCGAACCACATGCAGCAGGATATGTGCTTGCATATATCGATAATTTATATGCATATCTATGCATGCATACCTATTATACCTGAGCACATGACAAATTCTGCTGCAGCCATTGAACACCAAATAATTTCTTCAGTTTCATAGCCAGCTTGAGAAACAAAGGAAACTTGGTCATGAGGGAAGATCGCGGCTGCTCGATTGTGATCTGGCAGGACCTTGCAAAAGCCACCATGATCAAAAGGCAGAGTCTGGCAGTGATCCTTGGTTTGCACGGGGAAGTGCCAGGATAGAATCTTGTTTCATGGACTACATTTGTTCGGACCGTAGGTCTACAAAATGATCAATCGAGTACAATAAAAAAAATGCCAATCTTAGACAAATATCGTATTTCCATCTTGACATGACTTTGACTTTTTTGATCCCAAGGGATTTCTTTTTGACCGTCTTGTGCTACCTCTGCTCACCCAAACCCAGCTGGAACATGGAGGTCCCGCGTGAAGAAGGCCTTGAGGCTTCAGCCGCAACACAAAGAAGAGTGCCCGGATGAATCCACACCTCAGAAGATAATCATTATCGAAATTGGCATATTTCATTTGTTGGGTTATCAATCATGACGAGCTTTGGGGACCCAGCGTCGATAGTATATCGTTGCTTTTGGGATGCAAATCACGGTCGTAGCAAGCCCTCAGTGCAATCGAGAAGACTGCACAGCACCATGCACGCATATACCAGGACATGCATACGCTGCTTTGCTTTGTGCACTGGGCATGAGGCGCACTCTTCCCGGTGCTTCCTGGGAGCAGATCAAATTGGCATCGGCCCAATGCATCAATGCAATATGATCAAAGCAAGTGCACCACCAGAACGATAAAACTAGGACATGCATGAGTATGGGCCCCCCCACGAAAAGCTTCGTAGATTGCAGCCTTCCCGCAGAACAGGTCGAGCACTGTGAACACCTACCAAATGTTGCACATGCATGGCATGCACTCTAGCCAAAAACATTAGACGAGATAGGTTCTCAAGATTGATTGAGTCTCGAACCCTGGACCGGCTTTCTGGACGTGTGGTATTCTGCGCAATCCAATCAGCCAAATGAATCCTCGGCGATCCAGCACGCGCAGTGTTCACGATGGACGGGGCGTGCGTGCTCAATCGGTCAAAAAAACATCGGGCCCACATGCCCACGACAGTCATTAGCACAGCCTAGGTTCAGCAAATACGGACATCCCAAAGATACAAGGGTGATCACTGCTGAAGCTGACAGGAATAGTGGAGATTCGCACGGGCTCTCATCCATCTCTGGCAAAAGTAACGTACACGGCACAGATCGTGGTGGCATAGCACAAAAACAAATCACAACTACTTCCTCTCGGGCCAGTTCATAAACATCGTATCGACCGATCGAAGTCTTATTAAATTAACAACTCGAAACAATGTGTTGCGACTGCAAAGCTGAGGATTGCAATCAACTGCAATTTGCGCTGTACTCGCTGGCAGTGGGCTCTTTGCTTGCTCGAGGCCGGCAAATTTCGATGAGGTGTGTCTGGAAAAGAAACGGTTCGGCCTTTAAAAGGTTGATCCAACAAACACGTAATATTTGTGTCGGAATCGGGTCGTATGATATCGGATTCAAAGTGTTGATCCAACATAAAACCTGAAGTGACAAATGCATTGCACATTTTGATCGGCAGGGTATTACATAATATCCATATGCGTTGGATCATTGATGCATGGTGCCAAACCCATCCTACTTAGTAATCATTCTTCAGGAAATTCCTGTTCTTGCACAAAAGGCGGTGGTGCCAGTGCGGCTTCGTGCACCATAGGGCACCAGCCCGCTGCCATCAGTGCCAGCGACCACCTGAACAGAATTTGGTGACTGGCTCGCAGGTGTGGGCTGGAATCGGAAGTGTTCTAATCGTATATTGGTCGGTGCAATCTATTAGATGTCAAGAGACTACAAATTGCAAAGCTAAAACATATGATATGATACCAATTATTAAATAATTGTAGTTGGATGCAGTTGGCACTAACTGCTAATTGACGTCTGTTGGAAGCTGTCGAATTCCGAGCGCCGAACGCTTGCTCACACCCGTTGTTCTTCATCCAAGAGATCGATACGCCATTCCCTGCGTTCACCTGGCACAATAGAATAGAATACTATACAATGACGAGTCGGACAGTCGATAGAAGTCAGAAGTCAACTAGCTAGATTGGCCTTCAGACGTAAGATATTTGTAATCTGATCATGTAGCTCCTCACTGTTGATCGGGCTCACATAGTAGGCTCCGTACCGATCAGGCCTCAAAACTTGCAAAGCAAACAATCATGAGCCATGCATATTGTAGTCGAGTTATGTTTTGCAGAATAAACCTGTACGGAGACTCTGGGCCCGAGACTGTACCCCAATGGAGGCCAGCTCCGCTCCAACGTTGTTTCCCGGGACATCTTCTGGTGGATGCAGAGTCCAACTCCTACAGTGCACACAGCCATGGTATCCCAGGAAAGAAGTTGGACGATGACAACCTCGCCTTCGCCTGGACAGATCTTCAGGCATGGAGAAGAATCGCATGTTCGAACTCTCGGATGTCAAAGCCGCAATGTTGGCCTAACAGAAGATTTGGACTAACTCTCATGTTCCACGGAAGGTTGAACCAACACATACGATGTAAAAAGTATGATCGAGTAAAACCAGCTAGCGCACAGTGATCATGGATCGAGTCTCAAAACTCGAATAAGAATCAAAGCATGCACATTTTCTGGTGATGTGGTGACGTGTATGCATGTGCACCAATTGTTTTACACAATACGCATGCATGCATGTGTGCATCGATGTGTATCGCGTAGCCTCAAACAGCCTGTTCTTCTTGGCACTCTTCGAGATGGCCGGTGATTTGGGATGAGACCTGATTACTGCACGCTGGGCTCTAGCACGGCGTGCCACAGCAGCCTTAGCCTTTGGCGAAGGC